TCGAATATCGATGATTAAAGTATTGTCATTTTTGAAATGGATTTAAATTTTGGTGATATGTTCGTGAAACTAGCTTTCTCTCTCTTAAGTTTGGTGAAAAGGTTAGTCCATTTGGGTTTGGCCTCTTTTAGTAAGAGTATTTGGGTTCCTGTAGAGGGCTGGAGGCTGGCTGAGGGGCCAGCATCAGGTTCTTTTTCTGTGTTTAATTGGTTGTTAGGTTCATTTGATAGATTATCTTCTGCATAGCGTATGTGGACATCTTTGTTTACATTATTTACTTGGGACACGTATTCAACTAATGTATTATTGTTTACTTGGAACACGTAGTTTGTTTTGCTCGCTAAGGGGCTACTTGGGGTGTTTTGGTTTTCAATCTTGAAATTTCCATGAGTAGTAAGAGTAAAGTTATCGTTGTGTTTTCGTTCCTCTTCAACTTGAGCTGCCCAGTTATTCGTAGTAATTTCAACCCAGGGGTTGTTTGAGACTTCTAGATTTAGTTCTGTGTTGTTAGCTGAGTCCAACACTTCAAGTTCTAGGTTTTCTTTGTTTTTTTCTGTTTCTGTAACAAGTATGCTCTTGTTCTTGCTATTAGAAGTTTTGTTCTTAGTTAGTTTCAGGTCAACAAAGTTTTTATAGCAGAAGGGTCTTCGTCAGGGCCTAGATGTAGGCTTGCTTGTTCTAGGTTTTTTTTGTTTTCATCACTCTTAAGGGTAGGGTATAACTATTTCCAAATTCATATAAAATAGATTGTAGATCAATATTGTGTAACCAATATCTTATTGTATTATATGATTTACATGTAAACAACATGTGATTTGACCAATCATAATTAGTAATCCTTTGTGTAACTAGGAGAAAACATATAGCGTCCAGGGAAATTTTTAGTTATATGTAAAGTTAATTTTTTTTAAAACAATATGTATTGTACAATTTATTATTATAAACAAACTATTTTAAACTACATATTGCATAAATTTGATACAAATTGGTTAAGGTATTGAAAAGTTTTATTAGAAGCACTTTTTTGTTTACTATGTAAAAATTCAATATACCACGTAGATCATATGAAAATTGATTTACGTACACCCTACCCTTAATGAAGTGGAACACTTTTTCCATATTTATGTTTTTCGTGTTGTTCGAAAGCTTGGCTCTCTTGTTTGATTGTTTTCCCATATTAAAGTTGACTAGTTTACGTTTGTGCTGAGTTTGGGGCTTTGCCTCTTCAGTGTTTTGTAAAGAACCTAGAAGTTTTTTGTTAAAAATTTTTTTGCCAGTGTGTTCCGGTAGTAAACCAGAAAGAGTTTTTTTTACTTAAATTTTAAAATGTTAAATATTTATTTTAACATGAAATCAAAAGTTTTTTAAACTTTAAGCAAAGATATTTTGACATTTACCTAGTTAATTTTAATAAAAGGATTTTTATTTAAATTTTATAAATCTGTAGAATTCAAATAAAAAAGTTTTTATTGAAATTGATTAGGTAATTGTCAAGATATCTTTGCTTAAAGTTTTAAAAATAGCTCAGTGCAACTTTAATTTTGAATTTTTTTCAACTTTAAGCAAAAATATCTTAATGACTACTTAACCAATTTAATAAAAATTTTTTATTTGAATTCTATTAATTTGTAGAATTTAAATAAAAAAAATTTCATCAAAATTAATCAGATAATTGTTGAGATATTTCCACTCAAAGTTTTAAAAGTAATTTGGCATAGCTTTAATTTTAATAGATATTTTCAACTTTGAGCAAAAATATCTCAACAAGCACTTGACCAAATTTAATATATATATTTTTTTATTAAATTCTACTAATCTGTAAAATTCAAATAAATAAAATTTATCGAAGTTGATTAGATGATTACTGAGATATCTTTACTTAAAGGTTTAAAAATAATTTAACACAGCTTTAATTTTGATAGATATTTTGAATTTACCCTAACTTTGAATGAAGTTATTTTGACAACTATCTAACCAATTTTGATATAAAATTTTTTATTCAAATTCTACAAAACTATAGAATTCGAATAAAAAAAAATTATCAAAATTGGTTAGGTGGTTGCTGAGATATCTTTACTTAATGTTTTAAAAACAATTTGATACAGCTTTTGAGTAAAAATATTTTGACAACTACTTAATTAATTTTGACAACAATTTTTTTATTCAAATTCTACCTATTGTAAATTTCAAATAAAAAAAAAATTTATCAAAATTGGTTAGGTAGTTGTCAAGATATCTTCACTCAAAGATTTAAAAACAATTTGTGCAGCTTTAATTTTGATAGATATTTTAAATTTTTTTTTAACTTTAAATGAAGATATATTGACAACCACCTAACCAATTTTGATAAATTTTTTTTTTATTCAAATTCTACGAATCTAAAGAATTTTAAATAAAAATTTTTCATCAAAATTGATCAAGTGGTTACTGAGATATCTTTATACAAAGTTTTAAAAACAACTCAGCACAATTTTAATTTTAATAGATGTTTTGAATTTAACTTCAACTTTGAGCAAATATATCTTGACAACTACTTAACCAATTTTGATAATTTTTTTTATTCAAATTTTACAATTTCGTAGAATTTAAATAAAAAAATTCTTATCAAAATTGGTCAGGTGGTCATCAAAATATCTTTATTCAAAGTTAGAAAAAATTCAAAACATCTATCAAAATTAAAGCTATATTAAATTGTTTTTAAAACTTTGAATAAAGATATCTCAAAAACCACCTAACCAATTTTGAGAATTTTTTTTTATTTAAAACCTACAGTTTCATAGAATTCGAATAAAAAAATTCTTGTCAAAATTGGTGAGGTGGTTATTAAAATATCTTCACTTAAAGTTGAAAAAAATACAAAATGTTAATCAAATTTAAAGCTATATTGAATTGTTTTTAAAACTTTAAGTGAAGATATTTCAGCAACCACCTAACCAATTTTGATAATTTTTTTTTATTTGAATTTTACAGTTTTATAGAATTCGAATAAAAAAATTCTCATCAAAATTGGTTAGGTAGTCATTGAAATAACTTCGCTCAAAGTTGGGATAAATTCAAAATATCTATCAAAATTAAAGCTGTGCTAAATTATTTTCAAACCTTTGAGTAAAGATATCTCAGCAATCACCTGATCAACTTCAGTGAATTTTATTTATTTGAATTTTACAGATTAGTAGAATTCAAATAAAAAAAAAAATCTATTGAATTTGGTCAAGTGCTTGTTAAGATATTTTCGCTCAAAGTTAAAAAAAATTCAAAATATCTATCAAAATTAAAGCTGTATTAAATTACTTTTAAAACTTTGAATGAAGATATCTCAACAATTACCTGATTAATTTCAATGAAATCTTTTTTATTTAAATTTTACAGATTTATAGAATTCAAATAAAAAATTTTTATCAAAATTGGTTGGGTGGTTATCAAGATATTTTTGCCCAAAGTTGAAAAAAATTCAAAATTAAAGCTGTACTGAGTTATTTTTAAAATTTTGAGTGAAGATCTTGACAGTCACCTGATTAATTTTGATGAAAACTTTTTTATTTGAATTCTACAGATTTATAAAATTCAAATAAAAATCTTTTTATTAAAATTGACTAGATGGATATTGAAATATCTTTACTCAAAATTTAAAAAACTTTTGATTTCATGTAGTAAATATTTAACAAACTGGTATAGAAAATCATTTGATGATCATCACATAGCATAACCGAGCACAGATTCACCATTGCAAACAATAGTATAAAAACTTTATAATGTAATTGCTGCTATAGCAATGCAAGAACTCATGTTGTGATTAAATTCTATAGCAGCCACAGATAGTGCAAAAGCCTTATATTTGGTGATTAAGCACCATAGCTATAATAGTAATGCAAAAACTCACTTTGTTAATACACTCCATGTAAGCAATAGCAATGCAAGAAACTCATATTGTAATTAGGCTCTATAGCTGTTACAGGTAGTGCAGAACCTTTATTTTTAATAGTTAAGCATCACAGCTACAATAGCATTGCAAGAACCTTACATTGTAATTAGGCTCTGTAGCTACAATAATGTAAATTAATCAAAATTTAATTAAGTAGAAACCAACAATAATATTTTAATATTTACTAAATATATTAAATAATTTAAAAAATAAAAAAAGCTTTTATATAATCTACCTAAGCTATACTTTATTAAAAAAAACAAATAATAATTATAATATCTTCTTGCTAGACACAAGAAAGCATTGATATAAAAAAATCCAACCAATTAGGCAAATTCCAAATAATTATTCAAAAATATTATCATGAGATAGATTTTAAGTTGGAGGTAAAGCAAGTTTATTCTGTTTTAAAAAAAATTTATTCTAGACTATATATATTTATTCCCGTGCATTATTGCACGGGTTTTCAGCTAGTTGTTATACTAAAATAAAAAGTCGACCGGCCTGTCTCTTAAATTTTCAAAACCCAAAATAAACGATAAATTAATTGATATGACCTTAATGTTTTAAATATACCGTATATATGTTGTGCCTCAGATTAATGCTTGCGTCAGATGTCAACTTTTTGGCCCGCATTAACTGATCGATATTGATTGACTTAAATTAAGCCCAAATCCTTCCCAGATTCTTACCCTAACCCTAATCTAACTTAGGCCGGTTTTAATCTGACGCAAGAATTGATCTGAGGCACGACATATATATATCGATATACGTGTAGTTTGAAGTAAGCTTATTTGTAATTAGATTAAGCAAAAAATATATCTTTATACAGTATAGCCTTATAAAACATGAACTGCTAGTATATATCGTATTCTTTTTAGAAATTTTTACTATAAGAACCGCCGGTTCTTTGAAAGTGATTGTACATTATTTAATAAATCAAAAATAACAGATCATTTGGTCTTTTCCACCAATACTGTACATAATAAATAAGAAATTGAATATTTATATATAGACCTATGGAAAATTTTAGAAATACAAGTTCTAGATAGTGTCATAACTATTCCCAATTGTGCAATCATTTTAACTCGATTTGTCGTATTCCTTCTTCTATATCATCAGGAATTTTTTTTCCTAAAGTTCTATATCGATCTGCCAATTTTTTATATGCATATGGATGACCCTTTTTATGTGCTTGTTTCATCCAATGTTCACCTTCTCCCAAATCTTGTTTAACTCCATGTGCACCATTTATCAATAAATCTCCATAATTGAACATAGCATTTGAATTACCATATTTTGCAGCTTTTTGTAAGTTCTCAACGGCGATCTTATCATTCTCTACACTTTTAACGACTCCTTCCCCGTTAAGTAAAGCAACACCATATCTTAATTGCGCATCAGGAACATTTTTTTCTGCTGAACGACGAAGGTATTCAACGGCAAGTTCCTTGTTTTGCTCAACACCACGATCACCGGCATTTAAATAATAACCAACATAAAACTCTGCAATTTCGTTTCCTTTATCAGCGTGATACTTAAAGATTGGCCATGCTTCTTTGTATCTTTTTTCATTGTGCAATCTCTTTGCCTCATTCACATCATGTTGAATAATTTGGATATTCACTTGTCCAGAATCATCAATACTATCGAATTCATAGTTTGAAGCAATACTGATACTATCAAAATCTTTTTGAGAATTACCGTTCTGAGGTGTGTCGAAAGAAGATAACGAATCGCTCCGTGAACTAGTAGATATTATAGGAGTTGAAGGTGATGAGAGTCCAAAATCCCCTGGCCCTGTTTGAGACCTTGAGGATTTATAAAGATTGCTTAATTCTTTAAACATAAGATCAGCAGTTGGTCGCTTT